ATTGCGATGGCCAACTGAGGACACCGTACCACGGTGCAGTTTCACAGTGCCCAGCAGAAGAGGACAAGCCTCCAAGGAGACCCTGTCACCCAGCAGCTGTGTGTGTGGGGGGTGTCTGACACAGAGAATATTGCCCCTGTCCCCACACAGCCCCATCCCTGGTGACCTTTTCTTGGCGAAGTCACGCAGGTGGCTGTCCTCTTGTTGCAGGAAGGGTTATGGCCCTCAGCGCCGGGCACACTGACCGCCCCCCCCCCCCTCCACTCTCTCTCCCCAGACTATGCCTTTGCATCCCCCAGCACTGGAATCGCACAGACCACCTTTGTGGGGATCATCATCTCCCGGGGATCGGCTGCCAGCATCTCCTTCATGTACTCCTACATCCTGCTTACCATGTGCCGCAACCTCATCACCGTCCTGCGGGAGACCTTCCTCAACCACTACATCCCCTTCGATGCCGCCGTGGACTTCCACCGCTGGGTTGCCATGGCAGCCTTGATTTTCTCAGGTAGGTGAGCTGCTGGGGGTTGTGTCGCCCATGAACCACAGCTAGAGCGGGAGGATACAGCCCAGTGTGGCACAGCAGGACCACACAGAAGCTTGAAGGCTTGAACGGAGCCTGCGGAGAAATAAACGTTTTGAACCAGAGAATCGCGGGGCCCCTGGGTACATCAGCAGGGTCTGCTGCATCTCCATCCACAGCAACAGTGATGCTTTTCTCTCCCGGTTTCTGTCTCTTACAGTGCTCCACACTGCAGGTCACATAGTGAATGTCTACATCTTCTCAGTCACACCCCTCAGCGTGTTGTCCTGCCTCTTTCCCAGTGTCTTTATGAATGATGGGTAGGTGAAATTTAAAACACAGTCGAGTCAGAGTGTCCTGGACATGGACAAGAATGAAAGTGGAAACCAGGAGTTTGCTCTGACCACTCCATGGTGCAATCTCTTGTCCCTCTTCAGGTCGCAGCTCCCACAGAAGTATTACTGGTGGTTCTTCCAGACTATTCCAGGTGAGACCACCTAGCAGGCAGACCTGCATGTCCGTGCCCGGGACGGGCAGCTCCCTGCCCAGCCCAAGCAGAGCCTCTGTGGGGCTGCTCTCATACCCCCTGGGACCTCTCAACACCTCCTCTCACAGGCATGACGGGAGTGTTGCTGCTCGTGATCCTGGCCGTGATGTACGTGTTTGCCACCCACCACTTCCGACGCGTCAGCTTCCAGGGCTTCTGGATCACCCACCACCTCTACGTGCTGCTCTATGTCCTGGTAAAGCATATGGGCTGGGAGGGAGAGGGGTGGTGCCCGTGTACCGCAAACCTATGGGTCAGCCCAGCTGATGGGGGTGAAATAGCCGGGGAGGTCCCAAGGGAGGTGGTGGCTCCAATCCCAGCTCCCCGCTGCTGCTGAGCTGCCACCGGATCAGTCACAGGGCGACGGCTCGCCGTGCTGATGGGGGCTGCTCCCTGCTCAGGTCATCATCCACGGCAGCTACGCCCTGATCCAGCAGCCCCGCTTCTACATCTACTTCATCATCCCGGCTCTCATCTACAGTGGGGACAAGCTGCTCAGCCTGAGCAGGAAGAAGGTGGAGATCAGCGTGGTGAAAGCCGAGCTCCTGCCCTCAGGTACCACAACACCCCTGGCCACACGGCACCGGCTCAGCCCAGGCTCTTCACAAGAGCATCAGGGGCTGCAGCGACGGAAGAACCTCCACCACTCGATGTCCCGACTTTAACAAAGTCCCCATCCCCCTTGCCCCCCGAGGTGTCACCCACCTCCGCTTCCAGCGGCCGCAGGACTTTGACTACAAGTCCGGGCAGTGGGTGCGCATTGCCTGCGTGGCCCTGGGCACCACCGAGTACCACCCCTTCACCCTGACCTCCGCACCGCACGAGGACACGTTGAGCCTGCACATCCGGGCCGTGGGGCCCTGGACCACCCGCCTGCGGGAGCTCTACTCCCCAGAGAGCCTGGCCCTCATCGGCAAGCTGCCCAAGGTGAGCCCCACGCGGCTTCTCTGGGGACAGGGACAGCCGAGCCTGAGAGCATCTTCTCAGAAACAGGTTGTGACCAGCCCAAGGTGCTTCTCCAGCCTCGAAGGCAGCCAGGACCTGGGCAAGTGGAGGCAGGAGATGCTCTGCTGATGGCTGGCTCCCTTCCAGCTCTACCTGGATGGGCCCTTCGGGGAGGGCCACCAGGAGTGGAACAAGTTCGAGGTGTCGGTGTTGGTGGGAGGAGGCATCGGGGTGACGCCCTTCGCATCCATCCTCAAGGACCTGGTCTTCAAGTCATCCATAAGCTCCAAGGTGCTGTGTAAGAAGGTAAGAGGAAGCATCTGAAAGACGAGAGCCTTCCCGAGATGCCTCCTGCTGCTGCTGGCCTCTCTGGGAGTAAAATCCTCCGTGATCTGCCTGGGGAGGAGCCCCATGGACACGCATAAGGGTGCTGGCTGCACCCTGAGCCTCATCCCCATGTGCCACAGATCTACTTCATCTGGGTGACACGCACGCAGCGGCAGTTTGAGTGGCTGGCGGACATCATCCGTGAGGTGGAGGAGGCAGACAGGAACGATTTAGTCTCTGTGCACATCTACATCACGCAGCTGGCCGAGAAGTTCGACCTGCGCACCACCATGCTGGTGAGCCTGGCCGCCCGCTGGGGAGGCTGCCGCGCTGCGCTGCGCCGGGCCGGGCCGTCTGATACGTGCCCTGATCTCTCTTCCAGTACATCTGCGAGCGGCACTTCCAGAAGGTGCTGAACAAGAGCCTGTTCACGGGGCTGCGCTCCATCACCCATTTTGGGCGCCCTCCCTTTGTACCCTTCTTCAGCTCACTGCAGGAGGTGCACCCCGAGGTCAGTGCCTGGCTGGGGACAGGAGGAGGGGCACCCACCGACCAGTGAGGAGGACTGGTCCCAGCGTGTCCCCGAGGCCCTGGAGACCTTGGTGGCATCTGCAACCCAAGGCGGGGCAGGAGGGGCATGAACCCCACTTTGCCTCCAGAGCCCGGAGCTGGAAGAGTCAGCAGTGCCCCACACCAGGCAAACACCCCCCGCTATGGCCACGCTCCGGCTGCAGCCACTTCCTTGAGCTGGCAGAGGCCCTGGAGGATCCCGATCTTCCTCCAAGGCCCTAGCAGTTCCATGGGGAGGTGACAACCACCCCAAAAGCCTCCTTAGGCCGGCACAGACTGCTTAGCCAACATCTGTGCCCAAAGCTGCCAGAGAGCAACAGTCCAAGGGGAGGGGCTGGGCTGGGGGGGGGGGGCGGGGAGAGCTGGTGCTGCTGAGTTTGACCCTTTTGGCTCCCTCCTCCCCCAGGTGCAGAAGATCGGGGTGTTCAGCTGTGGCCCGCCCGGGATGACAAAGAGCGTGGAAAAGGCTTGTCAGCAGCTGAACAAGAAAGACCAGACCTATTTTGCCCATCACTATGAGAATTTCTGACCCTACCTCGTGCCGTTTCACCCCCAGGCTGCAGTCTTCGTGGGAAATGTGTGTTCAGTCCCAGCACCTGTGTGACAATGCTTCGGGTGGTCCTGGGCTCCCACCACCACCACTGGGCTGGCATGTCCCAATCCAGAAACCCCAGCGTTCCAAGTTAAACTCGGCTCTGCCACCTTAATCCCACAAGACAGAGCTCGTGCTCTGCCGGGTGGCTCAGGGAACGTCTCCGAAAAGCTTTGGGGAACAGCGTGGTGCCTGTACAACCTCAGTTCACAGCACTTTGCCACAAGACCTGGGAGGAGCCAGAGTTCCCCACCATCCCACTCCGCGAAACAGGCTCAGCTTTCCTAACCACTCATTTGTGCCTGCTCCTTAGCACGCCAGGCCTTCCCTGGGTTTGCATCGGGCCTTCCTTGTGTTTGCACTGGTTTCTTTCGGCAGCGTCACCGCTCTTCGACCGTGGATCATTTGTGCTTGTTTAACTAATGCCTGACTTTGCGTCGCTCCCGCAGGCTTGTGATTGAGCTTAAATAAAGCTGGCCAAAGTTTTAAAAACACTTTCTTGCCTCCTGTAGTTGGGTCTCAGTCACCTGGAGACTTGCGGTACTTGTGGCATTGTGCTGGCCTTGCTTTTGTTACCACGTATTTACGCCGGCCCACTGGGAAATGGGTTAAACAGGAGTGAGTTTCCCCTGCGCTGGTGATGCACATGTGGTGCAGGGCGGGCAGTGCAGATCTGAGCCCAGGCACAGCCCCACGGACCGTGTCCTACCAGACCCATCACCCCCAGCAAAGCCCCCACAGTGGCCACGTCCCCAGCAAGACCTGGCGTGGGAGCAAATTACAGCCGAGGAGCCCGAAGGGGCTGAGCCGTGGGAATAGCTTCAGCCCTCGGGCTGTTAACCAGCCCCCTAAGACCACAGGGACCAGGTCTCCATTTCCCCATAATAACAGGGTCTTGCAGTGGCCAGCGGCCCCCAGGCATGCCAACGGGACTCCCCCCAGCACGGGAGTCAGGGGCTGGGAATGCCCCAGGGCTCAGCAAGAATCCCAGCTTGCACCCAGCGCTGAAAGCTGGGCAGCCTTCCCCTCCCGTGGCCATCACGCACCCTTCCTTCCCCTTCAGCAAGGTGCATTTTCCCAGTTCTTGGACAGGCTCTGTTAATACCCCATCCGATTACAGGGCCAGGCTCCCAGGCAGCTTTCACCTGCTCAGGCTGGCCCATTTCACAGCTCAGTTTCCTCTGAGCAGTACTTTGCTTCTCCTTCTGGCTACGGGAAGTTCCCGTGGGTTGTCTTAGCCCTATAAAACACAGCATGGACTTGCAGGCTCCTACCTCTGCCAAGATTAACTTGGTCACCTCTGCAATAAATACGAGCTTTGATTTGCACGCGGTTGGGTTATTTAAGGTTCCATGGTCCTGCCAGCACCGAGCTCGCCCGCAGGCTGGCACGACCCAGCAGTGCAACAACAGCCCAGGGGTCTGCACAGTGCCCGGGGTCCAAAGTCAGAGACCCCTTCAAACCACCCACGCAACACTTTAACAGACACAGACACATCAGGGAGGTAACATTTAATGAGGAAAGTTCAGTACCGGCTCAAAAAGGGCTGATCTCTCAGTACTAAAATTAACACAACTGTAATCGAACGTTAGATTTTGTTATCTGCAACCTGCTACCTCATTAGTACCTCATTCATGGCTCACAAACTCAGCAGGAAGGCCCCGAATCCCCCCAAAGTTAGGATTCGCTTGCAGTGGCAAAACCTTTGAGTGATGCTGTCCCCTCACTTCTCACCCGTGCTCCCGCCCGTGCTAAAAGCGAGCTGTGCCCCCTCAACAGCAGCCCCAACCCGGGAGCCAGACAGGGACAGGGCAGTTTCCCTGCAGACACACTGCAGCCTGCTCTGCAGTGGTCCTTCTGCCCCCGGGGAGCTGCTGGGGGGTGATGACAGAGCAGATAGGGGCCCAGCTGGCCTCCAGACTACCTGCTTCAAAAAAGCCCCGAGCTCCGAGTTCTGGGCCTGCAGTTTGTTATTTGCAAAGAGCAGGAAGAGAACGACCTGAATGTGCAGATGCTTCTGGCAGAGGCGGGCTGGCCAGGCTTTGTGCCACAGGCTGCTGCAGTCCCTGAGCGTCCCCGAGGGAGGGGGGCAGAGCATTCACAGGGTTATCCCTCACCCAGGGACTGCCAGCAGGGAAGAGCTGCGGCAAGCACAGCCCCGGGCAGTGCTGGGGTGGGAAGGTGGAGTGTCGGCATCCCTGTCCTTGCTTCACCCGCGCAGCCAGGGACACCCTCCTCCACGCAGGAGGCTCTGCCTGGGACGCGCGGAGACACCCGGGCGCTTCTGCACGAGGGGCCAGCCAGAGAAGAGCCAACTGTGTGAACCATTATCTCGAACCAAACAAACGGCGACGTTTTGATTCAAACTATTCCCTATTGGTTCTCTATTTGTGGCTAATACCTGTTAATACTCTAACGGTGTATCCCTCAGTGCCATTCACCCTCATTATCATTTGATTTTCAAGCAGCGCCTGCATAAGGTGACCGTGGAGACATGCAACAGCTGTACATCAGCCTCCTGTGGCCTCATGCTTTGCATCTCAGGCAGGCGGTGTAATGGGGGAGAGGGCCAGGCACCGCCACATCTCAGGGGTTGTGGTCAGTGGGGTCACACTTCAGCATGACTTTGACCCCCTCGCCCCTCTTGGTGGTCTCGAATGCCTCCAGAGCCTTTTCCAGGGGGAAGCGGTGCGTGACCAAGGGCTTGACGTTGATCCGCTTGGATGCGAGCAGAGCAATTGCCACCGGCCACCTGCAAGGGAAAGGGAGAGCAGTTTGGAGTCCCAAGAGCACGGAGGAGCCTGGCTCATTACAATAATTTCCTTAGCCCGGGCAACCAAGGGGACTTTTGCCCGCAAACAGTCGTCTGGAGGGGGAACCTCAGGTATCAGGCATGGGAGACGGGACAAACCGACTGCTTCAGGCTGTTGAGCACCGAGAAGGCCGGCACTGCTACACAGAGAGATGTCTGCCCTTCACCTGCAAGAGGCTGAGTGAAAATCACGGGAAACAACTGTACTTCCGGAGCACTGAATGAAAAAGAAAACTGCTGTGCACCACTCTGCTCTCGCCCGGCCCCCTTGCTGGCAGACTGATCGCTGTGGAGTTCAAACTCACTGACTCGGTGCAGAGAGAGGAAAGGAAAAGCCTCAGTCAGCTTCCAACCTCTTCTCTGGCAGAGGCTTGCTCAATTTGATTGCCTTGCGTTCCATCTGAATGGGCCAAACTAGAGTGCTGGGGATACAAAGGGATGCAGCAGCTAATCGAATTCCCAAAGTGCCTACTTAAAGACATTCCCCATTTTAAGAAGGAGCTTGATGACATCTCATAAATACTTCCTGGAAAACAATCTTTACAGACTAAGCCTTTGCTCCACTAACAAGGAACTCCAGCTCTGAGAAGAGCAGGAACCAGGCTGCAAACGTGCAGTGCTGGGCCTCCAGCCCTGACCAAGGGGTCCAAGATCAAAGGGAGGATAGCTGAGCTCCTCCCGCCTTCGGGGCGAGGCCAGCTTTCAGCACACTCAAAGACCTGCCTGTCCACGAGCCATGCAGTTCAGTTCTCTGCAGAGACCACATACATCTTCAGACTGGCTCCAGATGTATCTTCAGCTTCAGCAAAATGATGAAAACTAAACAAGGCCCTTGCTCAACCCAGCATCCGCTCATCTCCAACAAGACTGAGAAAGTGATTTCCTTCCATGATGACAAGGTCAGCAGAGCTGGGCATGGCTTGGTATCGGATGTGGCACTTGGGATTTTGACTCTTTGCCAAGGATTAAGATTCCCCATATCCTTTGCCTCAAAATGGACGATGGAACAGGTAGGATGGTGGATGCCAGGAGGCGGCAAGCTTCTCACACAGCAGTCTGCAGAGTCAGGGCCAGGCCAACCTGCTTGCTTAGAGATCTCGAAGCACGAAGGGTTGAAGCAGCTAAAAGCTGTGTGCTCTTCCCTGCCGTGCCACGAGCCAGCACACTGGTGGACAAGCCAGTCTCTTCCAAAACACCTCCAGCACCCGGACTTTCCCTTCTACAGGGTATAAGAGTTGAAGGCACAGATGTGAATTACGATTTTTTTTTTTCCATTTTGGCCTACTTGCTTGCCACAGAGTACGGGTTTATTGTGTCTGTTTCTTTCTCTGGAACAAATGCTGCATGAAATGGGACAGTGGGACAACCCAGCTGGGCTGCTGTTGTCAGGTTTGCACTGCAGGGCTCATCCAGGAGCCAAGGTATAAAATGCAGGACACATCGGTCAGAGTCTACACTGCAGTGCTGGCATTTCAGAGTAACAGGAGGTTTAACCAACTGTAAGGAAAAACAGCCTTTTCCATGTCCTCTCTCCTTGCGGAAAACAAGAACTTCTTAAGGACAGACTTGGAGACACATCAGCCCACCCTGCACAAGACTCACGTGTTGCAGTAGCGGAATATCCCCCGGATATCCACCTCCCGCACGGCAGCGTTCACGATGGGCACAGTGACCATATCAGGTCCCAGCCCCACCAGCACCAAGGTCCCACCAGAACGAGTGGCCTGGAGAGCAAACACACAAATATGTTACATCTTGCAAAACACAGTCACCAGAGCCTGTGCAGCAGTCTGTATTAAAACAAAGCCGTACTTGGTGGCTGTAATGGACTGCCCGGGGCACAGCAGAGGAGCTAGGGGAGAGGCAGGACCCTGTCAGGAGCCCGTAAGTGTGAAACAAGCAATAAACAAGACTTAAAAAGCAATCTTTCTAAAATCTCTGAAGGATTTGGGTATCTAAATCTCATTCCGAAAAATGACTGGCACTTAGGAGTATGAAAAATACTTTTGGATTTCAGTGGGAGAGATTTAAAACTAAGAGCCTGATGCTCCGCTGGAATTTCTCCTTTTGCAGCTTGTCCCATTTGTCTCCTGTCTTTTCATTGCAAAACTCTGCCCTACCTTCTCCACATCCTCCTGTTAGGCAGTTCATGACAGCAAAACATCCCCTCCTTAACTGCTTTCTTCACCTGCTGGAATTCGTTTTCTTAATTATTCTCCTTATTTGGACAGAACTTCAACTTCATGGAAGATGCTGTCTGACTTGTACCAGCTCCCTGACACTGCTGTGTAGTCACGCTTGGATTTTGGGGTCTTACTGTAGTCTCTTGGTAAGTGGTAAAGTACCTGAGCATCAAATCAGACAATTATCCCCACGCTGCCTGCAAAGATGTTAACTCTTTAATTGTCTCTCTTAGTTTGCTGTCTAACGAGCACCTTCTCTCCGCCCCCCCTCCCCAAGCCCACTGAAATGAAGCACTATGGGAGTGAAATAACTGTCCCTCGTCACAGCGTCCCAGAAGGAAAGCCAGTGCCATCCCTGCTCCACCTCGGGGACAAGCAGCACTCACATAGATGCCAGCCTGGATGCAGGCTTGCACTCCTGTACACTCCACCGTTATCTCGGGCATGCAGCCAAGCAGACTTTCCACTTTGGAGGCCACCTCCTGCGGGGTCTCATTCTTCACCTGAATGGTGAAATCTGCCCCCATCTCCTTGGCTTTTTGCAGGCGAGAGGCAGACAGATCTGGAGGAAGACAAAACACATCAAGAACTGGAGCATCATGTGCAGCAGAAGGGGAGGAAGAACCTGAGCCTGCAATCTGCTTCCTACCCCCATCTGACGTCTCAACAGAGCCACCTTGTTTCGTGACCGGCTGCCAACTCTCTCAGGAGAAAAGACAGCATCTGTTACAGGGTAGGACAAGGTGGAAACTGCAGCTTGCTAGTACCTCCTCAAGAATGTATGCAGACCACTCAAACCAAAGGGCTTCCCACCCTCGATGCAAGTAGGCCACCATCAAGAAGCCCTGAAGGAAGCACACCCACGTCTGGGGCCTGAACATGTGTTCAGAGGGCAACACACGCAGGAGAGGAAAGGGTCTACATTCCCTCCCTCATCGTCACAGAGCCTTCGGTGAGGAGGCAGGGAGGAGACCTGCTCACTTTTCTGGGCAGGCAGAGAAGGATGAGCGCTAAGGACAGCTTAAAGACACGGGAGATGCCAAAGGCTTTCCAGCTGCAGAAGAGGGTGTGCTTCAAAGAGGCTAAAAGCACAAACTCACAGATGAAACCCACACCATGCAAAGCAACGTCCAAGTGAAGGAACAGCTGCCGCCGCTACACTCAAGAGGTGTCTTCTAAGACAATGAGCTTGCAGATCTCCCAATTTCTCTTTGGTACCGCAGGAACACCGAGAGTGTGCCAAGACAAACCAGAAGGCCAGGCTTAACTCCAAAGGGGCATGCACATCGACGTCGCAAGCGGGAAGCAGAGCAGGAACAGCTGTGGCCAAATACTGGTGCGTTGCTGCCCCGACACTGCGGAGCAGAGGAACCTCAGCACAGGCAAAGGCAAAAGGCAGCAGGAGGGCGGGACAGACAGGGCAGTGCTGAGCTGCAGCGCCGTCTGAACAGCGTGCTTGTGTCTTACCGAAGCTGCCACTGTCTAAGACTGCACTGCCCAGTGTCTCTCTGGCAATGACTCTTTCATGAAGCAGCTTCACCAATTCACGCGGGACCTTAATCCACTAGTGAAAACTGACTGTGAAAAACCACATTATACACACACTCAGCAAGTTAACCTAGGAAGGAGCCTACAATGAGGCAAAAAAAACCACCACGCACTTTTTGCATTTTTCTTCCCTGCCTCTCAAGATTGTTTGCTATTGCTCATACTCTCAAGGATACCTTCCAAAGGGCACTAGGCAGACACAAGGTTGGTCTGACCTTCCTCTCTGCTGGCCCAGAAATCACCTGGCTACAGACAGCACAGCACCGAGAAGCCTTTCTGCCAGATGTCAGGCTCAGAGGATGACTGAAGTGGCCATCTGACTTCTAATGGTGCTGCATGAGAGCAGATCACGAGCTCTCTGAGGGCTTCCTCAATGAACCACCAGCAGATACTTTCAGCTGAGTGAACTGCAAGAACGCATTAGCTGTCTACACTAAGTGTGTCCCTGCTGTTACAGACTTCTTGCATCCTTTTACCCTCCTTGTAACAGCACTGGAGGCTGCTGAGCATCTCTCAAGCAGTTTCTCTCACAGATGAATAAGCAGGCAAGCCCATAAAAAAGAAGGAAGCCGATCTGCTAATATGGCAGACCTCAGCTACCCCATTAACACAAAACAACAAAGCTGCTGATGACCTGCAAGGGCATGGCTGTACTCTGGTACTCTGTCCAGAGAGATCACAGAATGGTCTGGGCTGGAAGGGACCTTAAAGCCCCCCCCCAGTCCCACCCCCTGCCCCAGGCAGAGCCCCCTTCCCCCAGCCCAGGGTGCTCCCAGCCCCGTCCAACCTGGCCCTGAACCCTTCCAGGGAGGGGGCAGCCACAGCTGCTCTGGGCACCCTGGGCCAGCACCTCACCCCCTGCACAGGGAAGAATTCTTTCCTTACATCTAATCTAAACCTACCCTTTCAGTTTAAAGCCATTATCACTCCTCCTGTCACTATGTGCCCTTGTAAAAAGTCCCTCCCCGCCCCTCTCCTTGGGGCTGCTCTCCAGCCACTCCTTGCCCAGCCTGGGTTTGTGCTGGGGATTGCCCCGGCCCCTGGGCAGGACCTTGCCCTTGGCCTTGTTGAACTTCATGAGGTTTGCATGGGCCCATCTCTTGACAGCGCTGTAAATATCTTTTGAAAATCCATAAAATGGTTTGTACCATGATGCGAACTGCACTGGTGGGTAGCCACACTGTTTGTCTCCTCTCTTCCACGTCCCTTGGAATGAAGCCACCCATCACTCTCCAGTCACCACTGGTGACCAGGACCTCTCTGGAGACAAGGAGGTGGACAGCAGAGAAGAGTGGCATTCCCCAGGCAGAAACAATCTCTTTGCCTTGCACTGAAGCAGTGGTCTACGGGTGCCTGTGTGTTGGCACTGGAAGAAATGTCTGGATCAAAGGTGGAAACAGCCAAGATCATCTAGATTCAAAATCGAGAGGTGAGCAATGTCTCCTGCCATTGGTCCTAGGCTTGGAGATTTGGAAAATGATGCCTTTGCCAGGGGTACACTCCTCTCCAGGACACTCAGTGCACCCATCCACCACAAAGAGGCAAATACCCACCTCACCAGGGCACAGTCTTCAGAGAAGTCACAGATGTGGGTCGGGGGGGAAGGGACAAGAGAAAGAGGATGAGGCCACTGCTCGGACATGAGCTGCTCTGACTCAGTCCCAGCACTGGGAGGAAGCCAGGCCAGAGGCCCTCCCCTGCCCATCACACAGCAAATGTGACGTTACTTACTGCCAGGGCAGGCGATGGACATGCCCCCACTGGCAGCAGGAGGGCTCGGGACGCCGGGTACGAGCACACCCACTGAGGTGCATACCCAGGAGACCTGTGGAGAGGGAGTTTTTCAAGAAGGGATAACAAAGGGTAATAAAATGCAGACGAAGGAGGAAAAGCCAAGGCTGGAAAGCAAGGGCAGCATCACCCTGAAAGCCTCGATGTGGGCTCTCGTTCCTGTGGCTGCAGGAAGCGTTAGTCACGTCTGTCCCTCCCAAGCTCTGAGCACTGGGCCTCAGGCCGCATGTACAGTCATGCTTGACCCTCTGCTAGCTGAGCTGCACTCAAGAGACCTCCCATGCAGCAAGAGCATGGGCATGAGCATTTCTGAGGCACCTGAAGTGCTAAGAAACACTTCTGCCTGGCATGGCTAGTGCCTCACAAATCTCAGTGTACAGCAAGGAGACCACGGGGGCTCAACAGTGCTCCCAGCAATGGACCAAACTCGCCGTGAAGTTTGGTCTCAAAACACCAGCTTGAAGCAGGCACTGCTGGATTCAGCCACTTACAGTATCTGCTCAGTCACTAATGTATTTCATACTGTCTCTTTGGCAGAAATACATCCAGAGGCAGTGTCCTGGAGCAACAGGCCCTGCAAGCCAGTGCATTTCAAAGTGGCCACAAAAATCACTTTCAGACAGCAAAAAACCCCTGCACCTTTCCTATAGTTGGCCTCTGGTCTGCTGACCTGCTTGGAAAAGGAGTCCTCACGTCAGAGAGGCATACAGGACGCAGCAGTAATAAAGTCAGACCTGGTCAGGGCTGTGATATCATCTTGGTACACCTGGCCTAAGTGAATCACCGCTAAGCACTTACTGAAGCTGACAGATCTGCAGGTTATCAAATGAGAAGGTTAACGTACTGTTTAGCGCTCCAGACACTTGGGAGTCTTGAGAAGGACCAAGTCATTTGGATTTTAAGCCTTACTGTGGCTGAACCCCATACAACTCTTGGAAAACTGGTCAATTATACAGTTAAAGGGTTGCATCTTGCCTCTAGTCAGAAACTGGTTTTCACTTCCCAGCCACTGGAGCTAATTAAAGTTTTGGCCGCCAGTCTAAGAGTAGCCCATTCTTGTACTTCTGCTCCCACAGAAGTTATCAAATTACACTTAAGCTTCTCATGATGCTTTATGAGTCAACTTAACAGGCAAATATTCTTGAAGATCTTGCACTTTCTATGTTGATCTTCTTTCACAAAGAAGTTAACTCTGTCCAGTTATTCAACTTCCTTGACCTTGACTTCCAGGGTTTTTGGAGGCACCATCACCCAGGACTTCAGATTTAGATAGCACAAAGGGAATGGTTTCACATAAGTAGGAAGTACTAAGTGTACCTTTAGTGACAGACAGAGTAAGGCAAGACAGCCATACGAATACCCAAGCTGTCACTTCACTTGCTGGGGAATGCGGCTGCTCTTTTACGTGCCTCTAAGGAGAAAAACAGCTTTTCAGAGCAACAGTGATGTTCACAGCAAGGCAGAAGGACAGGAGAAGGCTGCCCATAAATATCAATCACACCCACTCAGCAGCAGAGTGGAGAAAGCCACAGACATTAGGAAGAGTAGATGAGGACCCAACCGATCTGCTACACCCAACTGCAGTCCATTAAATACATTAACCCCACCACTCAAAAGGGAGAACACTAGTTTGCCAAGAATAAAGCAATTCCGGGAGAAGAGCAAAGGTTATCAGAAGCACTAATACCTTTTATCAGCCAAGCTGCTGTATCTGGGAGGAAAGGCAAGCTTTGGTGCACACAAGCCTTTGGCAGGGTAGGGCTGAGCATTAGCCTCTAGCTACAGTGCCAGCCGCTTTCTGGGAATCTCAGAAAAGAGACCCAACCTCTCAGCAGAGACAAAACTTTCCAAAATTCACTGACTCCGGGTGTGCCAAAGACACTCACTGCATAAGCTGTAGGAGGTAAGCTTTCCCCAGGTCATGAAAAAGCTCGTCTAGATAGTTCTATATTTGTGTGTGGCTTGTCAAACCAAACACAAAACATTTAAAGTCTTAAGTGCCACGCAGACAAAGCTCTTCACAGACAAACACACCATAAAAACCCCGGGCAACAAATTCAAAGAATCTGGTAGCAAAGTACAAGAGAGCCTTTGTGGGCAGGCAGTTGCCTCATAGGTGTTGGCTCCTAAAGGCAACACAAAAAGCAGTTCCTTGAGAAGGGCAGTAAATTCCCAGTGGCAACAAGCCAAACTGAACCCATTCCTCAGCTCATGTCACGTACAAATACCTGACTAGGGACAGCACCTCCATGGGTGTCTGAGCATCTCAGCCAAGCACCTCACAGGTGGGAGATGTCTACAAGTCAGGATCGTTACCTAGGCCAAGATGTAAAGACAAGAAGGGGTTAATTCCACGTAGCCAAGCTTGCTGACCCTACAAACTAAGAACTTCCTACGGCTACCTGGAGCCCTATGGCACACACTATACAGGTCTCCCTGCTGAAAGTCCCCAGGAGCAGTCTACAGGCAGAGACATCAGCTCCCAGTGTTACAGGAAAGAATACACCCAGGCAGGACTGGGGATGGGCGGCAGGCTGAACCAGCTGCCTCAGCCCTGCCAACCCCTGCCAGCTCACCAAGGCCTTCCCCACCCAAGGACTGGGTCACCCACCAGCCCCTGCACCAGCTCAGCTCGGCAGCAAGGTTCCTCATATGTGATTCAAGAGGCAGAGATGCTTTTCCTGATGTAGCAACCATCACCTTCAAATGACACCACTCTGCAAAATCTGAGGCCTAGACTGATCACATCCACTAAGCACACGCCTGCAGGGTGGGGCCAGCAGAACAAAAAATGCCCTGGACTTGGCAGCAAGAGGATTTAGGGAGGAGAAGGCAATAATCTGCCTTAGGTTTTGACAGGAGCTACTACTGAAGGATGCTTCTGCAAAGGCAAGAGGGTGGGACCTGAATTTTGTCTCTCAACCTGCAGATGAAAACACAGTAATTGAGAGGTCAAAAATACACGTGGCCCGAAGCGTGGGAGGTGGCGTAACAGTCTTCTGAAAAGTCCAGGTTGGGGCCTCGGCCCAAAAACGTTGCAGCAAACTGTGCTCGTTGTCTAGTTGTACTTGTAACTGCTCCTCCCAGCCATCACCACTCAGAAGGATCAAAGAGTAGCAGCTGGTGCTGGAAATACTGCTTCCAGGCCCTGTTCAAACTCCAGGTGGAAATTGCAACCAGTGAACGTCCCAAAGTTACTCCAGCTCTCCATTCTTCTGGGCAAGCTACACAGAGAAGAGCCTGAACCTTTGAGGAGAGGTGGAGGGAGCTGGGCTGGGTTAGCATGGCAAAGAGAAGGGGAGATTGAAGGACCCTCTGCATCAACCAGAAGGGCAGCTGCAAAGATGAAGTATCATTTCTGTTGCTGGAGACAAAGGGAAATGCCCACAAATTGCAGTTAGTGAGGGGACCCCAGAAAGAGCTTCTTCATTAAGAAGTGGTGCAGTCCTGGAGCAGGTACTCAGAAAGGTGGGATCTCCATCCTCAGAGGTTTTCCAGACACATCTAGATGAAAACATGGCTGGAAGCAGCAGATGGACTAGAAAACTCTGGGACACAGTTATGTAAGGAAGGCCCAGTCACTGTGGACAATCAGTAGAAAATGAACCCTCCAGCAGGACAGCAGAAAGAAGGGCAGCAAAGGAGGACTGGAGAGGCAGAAGTTGGCTGCACAAAGAAAGGACTGTGCAATTACTGTGTCCAGGACAGCACCTAGCACTACAAGAGGAAAGAAAAAGCCCTGATCATAGCAAATCTCCAAGAATAGCCCCAAATGGGGTATTAAAATACGCTGTGTCGCGTGGTCTACGCGCCTAGGTGAAGACTAGAAGCAGATATAATCAAGGTTTATAAGCACTACAGGGAAGATGAAACCCGATCCTCAAGGCTTGACCTATGAGCCAAAATCAAAATACAAAATTGAGGTCAGAAGAGCTTAAAAATGGAAAAAAAAAAAAAGAAAAAAGAAAACAATGATCAGAGGCACCAGGAGCAAGCGGAGCTTCCGTAACTTGGAGCTTTGTCATACAGACGCATTGCTTCTTCCCAGAAGACCTGTTCAAAGTCTGAGAAAGGTCTCTAGGCTTGATCCAAGGATCACTCATTAGCCTCTGGTTTATTCTCCTTGAAGCACCGTAGCTACTCCACCCGCACAATTTGCCTGTGCTTAGGAAGCAGAACTCACTACCCTGGTCTGCTAACCTACCAGAGAAGCACCAGTTGCAACCTGCATCTTCTTACAGATCTCAATTAGTGGAAAGTCTTGTCCTGAGGAATGAGGTGTTTATTAGGATTCCTTCCAGACAGGTGCACGCTACTACTCCATTCATGGACAGACTTTCCACTGTCCTTGGGCTGCCTTCCCCAGCAGTTACCTCAAAGGAATAATCTGGAACTAGTCAAAGTGTATCGTGGGAAATAGGCAGACTCTTAAGGGTTAAAAGGACTTACCTGTAATCACCACAGCCGCTGCACCCATCATCTTAGCAACAAGCACATTAACAAGGCCAATTGGTCCTGGGTACAAAGGGGAGAAAGAGAACATATACAGCTGCCAGCCACAGGCTTTGAACATGCCCAGAGCTCAGCATATTCCTACGCTAAAGGAGGCTCTGACTGTGTTTCCACGGGGCCAGCTCTGGGATGACAGCATCACCACTATCCCAGGGCAGTAAGACCAGCTCCTGAGAGAGCAGCTCTTGCTACATGAGTGGCTCTGCAAGGAAAAGACCACCCGCTCCCCTGCTCCCTCGAGCTGGTAGGCTCAGCACGCCCAGACACTGCACTTTGCATCTGGGCTGCTCAAAATGCAGCTCTGGCCAAGGCCAGTCTCAAGGTCCCCCTCAGCATCCCTGTAACTCTTGCCATGACCCACGCTCCTGGCAGAGCCTAGAAACACAGCTTGCACCCTGTCCATCCCCCTCCGTGCCGCGACTGGCAGGGAACACAAGGACTGAGTATGTTCACTGTACCAGAGCCAGACACGAAGACTTTACTTCCCAGAGTGACTCCCGCTCTTTTGCAGGCATGGATTCCCACGGAAAGAGGCTCAATAAGGGCTCCTTCTTCAAAGGTGACATTATCTGGAAGCCTGCAAGAACCAGACACAAGCAACAGTGACTAAAGAAGTTTATGAAGGTGACGTGGAAAGCCGTGACACTCGAAGACCAAACATGGGTCTAAATCAACAGTAGCAAAACACATTCTCACCCTTGGTCTGAGAAATTCAGGGTTGGAACCTGTTTCAAGAGGTTATATTGCATCTTTCCCTCCTCAGAAGCAGCATCACATGCACCTGAACCACTTACCACTGAGGTTTGTCCAGGCACCAAACACAGGGACCCGCAAACTTCCCCACATCTCTCCAGTACTTGGTGACTCAACCCAAAAACTCCTTTGCCATTTATTCCCTTTGGAATAAACCCCAAAGTTGCATATGCATCACCTTAGAGGCTGCCCTATGGCTGAGACCCATCAGTGAGCTCCCAGACCCCTCCTCTGGGCTGGATCATTCATCTCCACGCTTTTAGAAAACATCTTGCTGCCAATGGTGATGCCACATAAAGCAAAAGCAGCCAGGTCTCCCCATCACGCCCTGGATGTCCTCCCCTGAGGCACCAAGTGTTTCAACCAGTGGACTGATCCCAGCACACACCCTCCCAGCAGTCAGGGAAAATGTGCACAGTGGCTGTCAAACACCTTTTCGACAGGATCAGCACTGTAATGCAGCTAGCATAAGTGACAGGAAAAAGCAGAGGGGGGTGAAGCCCTTCTGAACTGCTGACAGAAATAAATCTCAGCCCCACAGTGCAGCCCTCCAGAAAACCACCAGCGTGGGCTCTCAGACAGGTGGTGCTGGGAGCTGTGTCTGCGAGGCAGGTCTCTCTGACAGCCCCGGGAAGCATGAGGTCAGATCTCAGCGAGACCAGCACGAAGCCAAAATAACGGAAACGACAGCTGTGGGAAGACAACTGTAAGGTATATGTCCCATATCTCCAGGAGGCATTAAAAGGCTGACTCCAAGAATTCAGCTGTCTCAGAGTTTGGCACCACATTTGCTACTACTGGGTCTGGGCACTGAGTGGGCAGCTTTGCACCATGATCCACCACCATCAAATTATTCAGAGCATCCAACACAGTCTGTTTGCCAGTAGAAGGAGAGACAGTATCTGCCCAAGTATGTGAGAGCCCACTGAGCTCAGTCGTCATCTTTTCTTAGCAAATCTGTGCTGGCAGAGCAACTTCATGCCAGGGAATCTGCTCTGCATCAGATGGCCCCAGCACTGCCAATCTGAAACCAGAAGCACCAGATCCAGGCTTTGCATTTCAAAGCTTTAAAGAAAAAAAAAGAAAAAAAAAAAAAAAGAAAAAAAAAATTAGCCAAAGCAATATTTACTCAAACTGTAGAAAAAAACAAAGCCCTGGAAGAAGACAGCTACAAACCAGTCACTTCCTCCCAAGCAAAAAACTTGTGATGTTGTCAGAAAATGTTTTTTTAACACACAGAAAATCAGTGACAGTGGGTCTGGACAGTCCCATCCACACCAGCATCTCATCCTGACAGCAGCTGCTCAGGATCAGCTTTGAAAGAAGCTGTCTGCCTGAGGACTCTCCTAGGAAGCGCATTTAAGTGCCTCCTTCCGACTGCTGTGATCCTGAACATTTCCTATGCAGACACCAAAGATCAATCCCAAGGACATTCCTGCTCATGGAAGTACCAGCTCCACACAGACTGAGAAAGAACAAGCTCCGCAGGTAGACTAAGCCTCAGGGGGTCACTGCCTTAGACTACTTCTAACTGCTGGTGTAAATACACTCATGTGGGTATAACCTTCAGAGTTTTGTTTGGGTTTCTAGCGTATTTGCCAGAGTACTTAAGCACAGACTTGCTTTTAAGTAAATGTGTCAGTCCTGCCACAATTAAGAACATACTGAAGTTTGCTGAGCTGGATATGTAAACAGATGTGTAATGCTGGCACCTTAGTGGGGCCACTCAGTACCACACAAATAAGCAGTTTAGCAGGGACACTGCTTTCTGTTCGTTCCTGTTCTACTCCAACTAGGATGACTTTGCTTCAAATGACAGAGCAAGGTGTCAGCAGTCAATGTGGTGTTTCCTGAAAAGCAGCAGTAAAGCTAGCTCAGCTCAAAGAATGAAAGACCTTCAGACGCTGTCCTGAGAAGGCAAGGATATAAAAAGACAGCAGAAGAGAAACCAAGAGCAGGGAGCAAATGGGAAAAGAAAAATGATTAAAGGGTAAACCAGTGGTGACATCCCAGGAAACATGCAAGAAGTGTTTATTTATGTCTGGCACCAGAGGTGATAAACTACACCTGCCTGACAAACCCTTTGCAAAGTGGCTGCCATCCAAGCCTTACGCATGTTATTTATGGATCAGAAAGCAATAAAACCTGTTGTGTTCAAGTAAAGAGTGCTCACTGCAACACTCAAAAGGGCCAAGAGGCGATTGCTTCAGCTATTCCCCTCCAGGGAGTATATATTTCTCTGCAGAGAGAGCACTGACTAACTTGTAGCAGTAGCTGGCACTGTGCTTGTAGTAGCGGCACAAGTTCCCATTATCAGGAGGCGTCGCGCAGAAGAAGATGGTTGGAGACAGGTTATAGCGGCCAGTTTTACAGAACTCATCCATTTCTCTTGGGACGCCAGGCTCGATGGCCACTCGATCACCTGTCAGGGCGAAAGCAGACTGTGTTACTCGGGAGGAAGGTGGGCACAGAGGTATGAGTAGCACCAAACAACCACAGGAGACAGCATGAAACCCTGGCACAAGAGGAGCATGAGGGACATCTGCTAAGTGAGAAAGATCATGCTGCACACACCCTGCAAGCTCTTAACACTTCCTTCATGGCAGCCTCATCACCAAAATCTTCAGTTACTTGAAAAGAGCCAGTGTTTCAGAGGCACAGACACAGACCAGATGGAAGCTCAGTCACATACAAACCTCTCTGCAGCTGCCTTGCACTCAACCTTAGCAGATGAAAAGGCAGCCCTCACCCCAGGCAATCACACAGTGACCAGAGTTTTTTCAGACTCTTTAGTAACAGGAAGATGAAATAATGAGGACAAAGCAGGTGAGCTCTGCTGGCTACCACACTGCTAGCTGGAAAGGGCTGTTCCTTGGGAACGAAGCTTATGGTGCAGAAGCACACCCAGGAGCCAGGCAGGACTTATCAGGGAACGGAGATGACTTGATGCTATGACAGAGTAGCCCAGACTGCTGGAAGGACACATGCTGCAGGACAAAGAGTTCAAATAATTATTTAATTGCAATCACGAGGCAGGACAGAATGAAGAAAATAACTATGTGATTGCAGTGCGACGTGCAAGTATGCAAGGGAGACAAGACAGCCCATTTTATTTAGCAGAGGAAGCCAATCAAAGCCAAATCTCTCAGCAAAGCTCTCCACCAACAGGCTTTAAATCAGACATAGTGACAAGCAGGAGGATGGATGGAAATAATGAGCCATTTAGCCCAGTGCACCGCCTCTAATATGGCCAACAGGGGATTTCTGGGGGTGAGAGGAACAAGACAAGCACATACTGAATGTTTTCCCAGCCTCCCACTATATTCAGCTGTAGGGACTCCCAAGCTGCATGTGGTTTCTTTGTATTTAGTAACCCTCAACAAATTCTCCTCCACCTTCCACCTATCTAAACTTTTAGCATCCACATCATCTTTTGCCAAGGAGGCCTACAGGTCTGCTAGATCTTAGGTGAATGCTGCACTTGGCTCCCACTGTCCCTTGCTCTTGTATTAGAGGAACCAGAGGACAGGCACAGAGGACAGGACTTTATGTGCCCTCTTCTTGCCCTCCATAAGACTTCAGACCTGTGTCACATGTCCCGGAGTTGTCTCTCCAGCTCCTAGCTCAAGTTCCTAAGTTACTCATTCATCACAGAGATGCTGCTCCTCATCTCGTCAACTCCTTGTCCTCTGAAACTTTTTCACTTCTTTTACATCCCTTTGGAATGGAGGAGGCCAGAACTGCAATGCAGAGCTCCAGATGTGCAGTGATGTCCTTTGACCAAGTCTCTGTCCCTTTCCTAACACTGATTTGCATTTTTCACAATTACTGAGCCAACATGACCATGCACTGTGTCAGAGCGAAAGGTGTCACTCTTCAGTTGATGGTCAGCCCATCATTTTAGATACGAAGCTGGTTTTATATCTTGTGTCGTGGATATCATTTTATGTTTATCTGCATTGAGTTTCACCAGCATCTTATTGCCCAGTCACCCTTAAGGTCTCTCTGTAACTCCTGCTAGCTCTCCTGTGTCCTCTCCACCCTGCCTAAGTTGCTATCATCATCAGACTTTGCAGAATTCACTGCTCAGCCCATTTTCTAGGGCATTCATGAGCACAGCAAACTGTAGCGGTCACACTACGGGGCCTGGTACAGTTGCTCCAGTGACCTCCCTCCACTGCAGGAGGCCATTTGTTCCTTCAAGAGTACACACAGCAAAGAAACATTAACAGCAGGTTGTTGGCAAGAGCAACGTACATGGTTTCTGAAGCTTTATCTAGCTTCTTCAAAAGGCACCTTGTACGAGCATACACTCTACTCTGCAATAAAATAGTCAGACCAGCGCAAGATATCCCAGGATAAAGCATACCTAAGAAATACCATAAACTACAGTGGCCAAGCTGGGTGATTAATAGCAGCAGTGACCCTCTTTGAAGAAGAAGGTCACACTGTGCAATTCACAGCTCAGAACATCAGATAAATTTACCTAACAAAAAAGCACAGCCTGTTCTCAACACATTCCCAGGAACTAATTAGCAGGAAAACAAATAAAAAGACAGTTTTGATTCCAGTTACCTGGTTTCAGATGGGTCACCCCTGATCCCACTTTGATGACAGTCCCAGAAGCTTCATGCCCCAACACCATGGGGTCCTTCACAACAAAATCCCCGATTCGACCATGCTGCCAGTAGTGAACGTCAGACCCACAGATCCCAACGGAATGCATCCGCAGGAGGACCTCTGCCAGAAAAGGAAGGAAGGTTCCTTGTAGAAAAACTTACCTTCTCAGGCACTGGGAGAGTGACACGTGCCACCCCACAAGGCCTAACCAGCATTGAAACATCCGAATTTACTAGCACTAAAAAAATGTACCAGGACTGCACGGGCAAGCATTAGGATGGATGGCATATTCATGAGACACCTGCTGAAATACAAGGATTTATAAGTCATGAAAGCTTAAAATATGGTAAGATCCCTGTCAACTAAAGCTAATACAATCTAAGAGGGGCGTGACTATTACTGGAGCAAGAATAAAAGAGCAAGTCCATTTAATTTTTTCTTCTCCCTCAGCTACAGTTTCAGCCCTGGAGAGTTAGTGAATCAAATTTCTATCAGCTCATATGCCTAGCCTATTAATATTTAGTCCTCCAATAAGATCACCTGACATGTCCCAAGAGCTGTTTAATGTGAAATACGTGAACTGATGAAGCAGGAAGCAAATAAAGTCAGGTAAGGAGTGTATCTGTGACCGCTCTAGCTCTTCTTTTCAAGTGGAAAAGTAGCATTATCTGTTTCAGCCACACATTCTTTTTTGGATTATTTTATACTTTCTCAGAAATATTTTATCCTTCATAATATCAAGGAGAGACAACAGAGAATGAGAAAAGAAAGAGATTAGTAAAGAAAGTAGATAGAAACAGTCATCTCCAGACCTACCATTGGGACCCGGTTCCGGGATTGGACGGTTTTCCTACGGACAAAAATAAAAAATATAAATCATTCAGCTGCTTTTGCATAGCCATGGGAATACCTCATGGAAAGTCAGTCCAGGTTAGCTCAGGCAAATCCATAAGCAGATCAGGTTTTTGGTTCTGTCTGCTCAATAAGACATTGCTGTGCAACAAGGAGGGATATAAATGTGCAGTCCACACTTCCTCCCTAAGCTCACCTTGTTTTGCTTCCACAGTGGAGTAGTGTGGACATCTGTTAGGAGTGAGCACACAGCCAGCTTGTAAATGTACTCCTCAAATCATCCTACAGTAATTTCCCCTTCCTTGCCCTGACAAGACTCACATACTAAACTTTCCTGCCCTGGAACAGCCTCAAGTTTCAGATGAATCCTTCATCCCACGGGCTGATAAAAAAATTCACCTTCTGTAACCAGGAAGATTCTGAACCACCTATCTCTGTAAAGCGTTAGTACTGAGGTGTTTGTATGATTATTATAAATTATAGGAAATATTTTTACTATGTAATAATAACTCAAGTTATTAATCAATTGTAAACATTACTGTAAATCACATTTAAAGTCACTTCCTTTCGTAATTGGCATAACACCTCTTTACAGGAAGAATGATAAAACCAGAATTATAAAAGTAGTCACTTGGCCCCAGGACACCATTCCACTCAAAAAGTCTGCAGGCCTTTTGCCTTCACTGAACTCCCTCAGAGGCCTCAAATGACAAAGGAACAATTTTGTTGGGTTTTACAACATCAAGACAGCAGGATACCCACCTAGCACCCACCTCTAGGATCATGCCTCTAAGGAAAGCCCCACCAAAGTAGTTAGTGCTAACAACAAAATCTTCATAATCCCTCTGCTGCTCAGATTTTCATGCATTTTAGACCCCTTTACTCACAGCCCAAAATTGGGCATAAAACCTTTAAGCAGACCTCCTATTCGCACAGTGCCTTTCCAAAAATTTGGTGCACACATTAGTAAGCCCACAGTCAGTTATTTCTCCTTGCAAGAGCATCTTCAGTTGGCCAGAAAATTGATCTCTGGATTTGAGAGATGAGCGAACGTTTTATAGCAGTCCTCCAAGTATTAGCTTCACCAGTTAGAAGCTGCTATGTAACAACGAACGCGAGACTTTCTGCTGCCCTACTGCAGAGGAAGTGGGATATCCCTTCCTGCTTTTGGGGAGCACTGTTGTGTGTTTTAGCTAATTAAACACCTTCTCAATCCCAGCATATTCCCCAACTCGTACTTTGTACTTCACCAATCTAAACATCACAAAAAGAGAAATTCTGGAAACACATTCTCAAAGCGCTGCTCTGTTAAAATACCTGCTGAATAATCAGTGCTGTAAGTGGGCAGGACAGTCCAAATTCTGTTGACTGGAGTGCAAATCAAAGTACAACCCAACATACCGAAATTTTCAGTGTTCAGAATTGTATCTGCATACAATTTCTATGTGGGGTGTTTCTTTTGTCCCACTAAGGACACAGCCCAGAACATTATTTTTAAAAGAAGTTGATCTAGATGTAACCTCTTATATAGGAAACATCCAACAAGCATGCAATCTGGTATCACATCAGCGGTACAGACCACCTCAGCTATCTCAAAGGGACTGAACAGAACAGTCCGTGGTGAGAGATAAAGCAAGCCAACTTCTATCTGAAAATGTGTATGTGGCATTCCTCAGCCCAGAAAAAAAAAAAAAGAACACATTCTGCTCACTGTCCGTAGTTTACTGAGAGGTTCAGAGACAGCAAGTGGTGTAACTGAGGATGTGGAGGAAATGTAGCAAATGTCTTCTGTGTAAGGAGACATATAAAAGGAAGATACAGTACATGCATAAAAAGCAATAAATCCTCAAGGGGCAGCAAATAGGAGCCTATGGCAACCACCCAAGATCAAGAGGAGAGTCACCAAAAATTCAGCCAACACATTTTCACATAATGCAGGTCAGCTACTAAAGTCATGGTGACTCTCCCCATGGGAAACATGTCCACAAGAATCAAGAAGGGTGTGGGAATTACAGGGAAGATGATCTCACCTAACTTTAGGTATTAACAGCGCAGATAACAAGCTCAGAGTTCACTGCCCAGCCTCCTTACGTGATCAATGGGGCAATGCAATGAGTGCCGTTCACATCGTGGCAAAGAAACTTTAGAGAAGCTCGGGAGGATGGGACCCCCGAGGGGCTGCCTGTAAGGCCAGGGAAGCGCTGACAATCACCTCCCATGTCTCCAGCAGTAGGAATATCCCAAGGAGAGCCCATGCATCTGTGTGTAAGCCAGTTTAGAGACCAGCAACACAGACAGGATGGAGCCAGCATCCACCCTCACAAGTCTCATACGCCTTTCTAAATGACAGGGTTTTGGAAATGCGTTCTTGAACTAGAGGATTCTTTCCTCAATTCTCACTCACTGTGCCGATGCCTTTTATTTCTAGTAAGCCAGGCTGCACGTGCTTCTACTGAAACTGCAGTTGTATCAAAGGTGGCTGGGAGCCACATGGGCATTACCCACAATGAAACACCGCTTAGCCTTTGACACATGTCACTTGAGCTGTGCAAGAATGGTAAAAAATCAACTGCTTCCCGGATAATCATCCCCCAAATGAGGTGCTGCAGGTATCCAAAGTCTGCGGGTTAGTAGGAGCCCTCTGGTCAGAACTGTTTGCACACGAAGCGGCCTGTCAGTGTTTGCCCATGTAAATATTCCTTCCCCCATTTGGCACTTGCCGAACACAAACCTCCAGCAGAGCCGTGATGATTCAGCACCCAGAAACATCCAAGCGTTCACGGTCAGAGACACAGAACCAGTTTGAAGCCCCGACCGAAAAGAAAGGCCCCTCTCTCCACGAGGGTACCACAGCTCGAGTGCAGGCACAGCCCATGCGGCCGCTCCCTCCCAAACCTCCTTCCCGCTTCTCGCCGGGGCCCTCAGGAGCCCGAAAAACCAACAACGCCACCCTCCAATTTCTGCTTTCTGGGAAGGCCTCGCTCACGGGCCTGTCTACCGAACAGCCCCTCGCCCCCCAGCCCCTCCTGCCCGCAAAGAGGGGCTCGGGCGGCCCTTGGCCATGGGACAGCCCCGATCCGTGGGCTCCCCCCGCACGCCGCGGCTCGGCCCCCTCGAGCACGGGCGCACCCGCTGGGGCCAGTTCAGCTCACTGACCCGGCACCGGGCGGGGTGCCCGGGGGGGCGGACGCCTTCCCCCACGCCCCCGGGGCCGGGGTGCCGGCGGCGGCGGCGGGGCCCGGGTCCCCCCACCCCCCCCACCCCACCCCGGCCCGGGCCGCGCTGAGGCCCCGGCCCCGCCGCCACCCGGCCCGGCCTCTCCGGCCCCGAGCGCGGCCCCGCTCCCGGCCCGCTCCGCCTGCGCCCGGGCCCGAGCCGAGCCGCGGTGTCCCCGGGCCGGCCCGCTCCCCCCCGCCCCCCTCCCGCGGCCCGTACCAGGCGCAGGTCCCCGGCTCGGTGCACCACCACGGCCAGGTTCTGCCCCGGCGCCGCCATGCCCGGGCTCGGCGCGGCACCCGGGTCCAAGGGCCGGCGGCGGGGCCTCCCGCGGCGGGGCCGCCCCCTCTGCCCCTCGGCCGCCCCCGGCGCCGCCCCGGGGCAGGCCCGGGCCAGGCCTCGGGGCACCTCAGGGCCCCGCAGGCCCCGCAGCTCCCCCCCACCCTCCCCGCAGAGCCCGGGCAGCCGCCTCAGCCGGGGGCCCGCCGGCTGCCCGCCCTGCACCCCAACCCCGGCCGGACACAGCTCGGGGGTGCAGGTGCAACAGCCCCGATGGGTTTCAGGGCCTAAGTGGGTGCCGCCGGGCCCGGTCCCCCGCCTCACGTCATGTCCACCCCGGGGTCACGGTGTTTCTGTGGGAAATGGGGTGGCTCGGTTCAGAGCGCCGCTGGTGCGAAGCCGGTGGCGGCACGGCGACAGGCGCTTTGGCTGAAATTCAGCAAAATGCTGGCCCGTGGCTTGCCTGGACCCAAGTGGGCACAGTGTTGTTGGAACGTGGGTACCCCAGCTGTGAGAATGGCCTAGTGGGGGAAAAAGAAAAAAAAATATATATACTGGGGATTCTCTGTGTCAGGGATGAGAGGTTTTCCACTCAAACTGACTTGGCAAAGATCTCGAGAAGCTTATCCACTCCAGTGTCACCTAAGAGCGGTCTGAAGCTGAAAGTTTTGCGGGCTTGGCTTCATTGGAAAACCAGAAAGTGTACCAGATACGTCACACAAAGTTGCCAGAACCAGCTAAAAATAGCCTGACCTCTTAATATTGCTTCCTGCTGCTTGCATCAATGGGAGTATCTATGAATTTCCTTTCCTTCTCGCAAAAATGTCTCACCTTCCAGGCAGACAAGGGCTGATGCATTTCTTTTTACCCTATCAGGGTCATTCTATGTAATGCTTATCTGAGTCAGACTCAGCATCAAATTAGTGGCTGTGAGCCACCCCTGTGGTTACTCTGAGGGCAGGGGAAGGAGCCTGTGTGTGAGGGAAACTGTGATGAAACGCCTTACTCAGTGTTTACACAGAAATGCAGTTCCCCCCACATCCACTGCCTCAGTGGATGAGGGAGTATTTACATTTCTGCAAATTACGGAAAGATGGAGAACAGCCATCTCTTCCTGGACACGCTCATTTTGTCAAGGCACCCGTTTGCACCTCTCCTTTTTATGATGTATTTACAACTAGTCTCCAAACTTGACTTGCCGTGCAAATTGTCTGCATTGTTCTGTCTGCATTCCAGCATGGAAGGTGCTGTGAAATCCCACAGCTCTACCAACAACGTGCAGTCCAGCCCTTCGGCTCCTTAAACCTGAAGAAAAGCTGGAAGCATGTACTGGGGGCTCTGCTGGGAACATGGGGCTCTTGCAATGCAAGTCCTTTGGCTTCTCATGTTGGTTTTGCTCCCCAAGTGCATTACAGGGTGTTGAGGGCGCCGCTGGGAGCCATCACAGGAGTCGTCTTCAGCTCCTGCGTCACTAAGTCTTGCTATCCTGATGGACTCCCTTCTCCAATATTGCTGATTTTCAGATGAAATCCTGAATAAGTGGAGTTGCCTAGAATTAAGCAAGTTCAGGGATGCCCAGCAAGCTGGTGATTCCCACGCAGCCTTATCCTGCCCTTTCTCAAGGGAAATATCCCACAGGCTCAATGTTTGTCCTGGATAATTCCTCTCCCTTTGAAACTACCTCTGTTTCTTGGGGCACAGCTGCAGACTGCCATTGTAAAAGCAGGGCTGGCTCCTTGCATGCTGCAGCAGACACCGAGATTTCCTCTCTGTACGTCAAACTGACCACACCATGACAGGTGTGTTGGGCAACCCCCAAAGATGTGTGTTTCAGTTGCCACGCCCTTTGTCTTGCTGTGAAAGTGGCTTCTGTGCTGCTTTGATCTGCGTTTGAACACCAGAAGAACCCAGCCTCTGGCTGCTGCTGTGCCCAGGCTGTCACTGCCCTGACAGGGCGGGGTGGCAGATGTGAAGTGCTTTGGTTCTGTTGTCTCCTCTCCCAGGAGGAGCCGACGGCTCTTCTTCCCAAGGCACAATGGTGCCCTTGGCCAACACGTCCCTGTGCCCAGACAGCCTCTGCTCCTGCCCTGCGGCAAGATGGGGAGGAAGGTGGTTTCCAGCCAGCATTTGGGCAGACAAGGGGCGTTTTGTTGGGGCAGGAGAACTGGTTCCTTCAGCTCTTCTGCTCCTCCCTGCCATGACTCTCAGCACCGTGTCTTCAGTTTCCTCCCTTTCTCTTTCCTGCTTTCCTTTTGGATCAGATCCACTTCGTATTTTCCATCTGTGTTTCCTCTGCCAGTATTTGCTGCCTGGCAGTTAGCTCCAGCGTGCAGACTGGGCCTGCTCTTACTTCAAAATCACAAGGACTTCGTCAGCTGCTACAAGTCCTCGGAGATCCTCGTTTAAAAGAAATTTTGAATCTCTTGCCATGGTCCGTTTCTCTTTGCTTGCCTTCAGTACTGCCTGGCAAGCTCTTTTGACTGTCAAGCAAAGAAAACTCTAAACAAAACATACATAGGACTTAGTTGCGCATTAGTTTCTTTTTCACTTATGCTTATGGGCATCCAGCTTTTACTGACCACAGAGGTCATTCACATCCCTTCAATAGCAGTGCTATAAAGATCATGTCATAACTGTAAGGTGACCTTGCAAAACAATCCTTATTGCCAGGACAGGTTCACTTTGCATTAGTTCAACAAAAATACGTGTTTGCCTTTTTAGTCAATGATCAAGATCATTGTTGCCTCTCTAGGTAAGAGGATAAGTGCTTTGTTGACATGACTATAATTCAGTTCACTTATAGCAGTCAAACTCAGCACGTATTTTCCTTGTTTGCGAGTTATGAAACACCTCTCTGGACCATCTCAGGTGAGGAGAGGGGTGACATGACCTCAGGGGGACTCATCTCCATGTCTTGGAGGAGGAGCTCCCCCCAAACAAAGTGCAATGCTGCAGGTCGCACACCTGCAGGTTCCCCAGTGAGGAACTGTCCCAGTGAGGACAGTGTTTTGGACCCCAGGCTCCTTGCAGTGATCCTTCAGCAGTCCCACACGGTGGGGCAGCCTCGGGTGTAGTGTTGGCTCAGCGGCCCTGTGTGGAGCAGCCAGATATCTTCTCTAAGCATCAGATATCAGTGCAAGCCTCTGCCTGATCCAAAATGTAACCAAAGGGCTGAATTCCCTGTAGCCTGAGCCCAATCTCTCCACCTTCATGAGTTCTCCATCTCCATGCACAGCTTATGCAGGATTTACATTAGAGGTAGCTACTTCTATTCTCCTTCCCTTATTTACCCTGTAAAGGATTTCCATCTTTGCCTGGGAGGTGTTGTCAGCCACAACAGGGTCCCTCTGAAGCTTCTTGCACATACCTGAGTAGCAATTCTATTTCTGACCAACTAGATGGAACGTTTTCTCCTAAATTTATGCAGAAAAATCTAAGATGCCTGTTCAGATCTACCAGCACCTTTGACAGCAGTTAGAAAAAGAAATCCATTAAAAATCAAATAAAATTAAAATAAATCAGTAGTAATTTCTTTCTCCCAAAGAGAGGAGAAACTGTAACAGCACCTCATCCATGAAGCCACCATCCTGTGACAGCCTTATCTTGCCTCCAAATTGAAGTGATCACAAGTGTTAGGTCTGCATAAGGTATGTCACAGTCACCAGACCTAGATTCACATTAAGTCTGCAAATGAAGTTCAGTAATCCTATGGAATAGCCCAAAGTGTGCACAGTTATATTCTGAAATAATAACACCAGGTTGTATTTTTATGTATTAACTCCCTGCATAGAAAAGCCCTCAGATAATATTATCTTCATAGGATTTGTTCCAAAAAAAAAAAGAGCCTCTGTTGCTGAATGTGCCAACAGGGATGCAGCTCAAAATAGCTATCAACAATCCTTATTTTTAAATATTTACTCGTACCCCCAGAAACAGTTCCTTTGCTGTTTTGGGTTCTTGACATGCACAACCACAGATCTTGCCCCTGATCCTTGTCCTCTGAGCACTTCACAAGATGCTCCACTGGGAAAATAGATAGAGGAATATGTTTGGATCCAACAGTTCCAACTGCCTGGCCAGCTGAGTGAGGGTAGGAGAAGATCTTGAGAGTTTTTGTGGCTGCTGGTTATAAATTTTTCCAAAATTGTTCTGTTCTAGGTCAAGACCTTCATCCATCCCTGCATGTATGGGCCACCGCTCACTCCACCTTTTCTGTGGATGCCATGATTTGATCAGTCAGCTGTTTTCTACACGTGGTTATTTGCATAGCTCGGATTTATAATGTCATCAGAAGCCATCCTCAGCCACTGACTTCCGTGTCCACACCTGCTTCTAGCCTTGCCTGCTGATAAGATATCACTCTTCACATTAACTGATTGATGTAATTCTCCCCAGAAGAGTACAGATCGGGGAATCATTTGAAATGTCCTCGTGAGACAATCTAGAGATCGCGTGTCAGCTTTTCAAGAGTGTGAAGACGTGTGCATTCCCCCTTCCCGGGAGAGGTGGCTGTACACTTCACATCAACCATTCGGTCCCGGCCCGTCCCCGAGCCTGAGGCAGGACCAGAAGTCCCGTGGCTGAACACCCCCTCTGTACGGTGTGTTTATTCTCAGAAATACGGAGCTTACGGGCAACCCCTTTGGTATACGAGCTTTGTCCAAACGGCAGCAGCAGATCTGGGACGTGTGTTGTCTAGCTGGTGCTGAGGCATGTGTCCACCTGTTTATTTTTTGTGTGTGTCCTTACCTGGAATATCCCAAGCCCACATACACAGTAGTGTGAGTCACTCAAGAGGCTTGCAGGCTGTGCAAGGGCAGGGTGCAAACTGCCATGTAGTCACCCAAGAGTTTGGTGGAGTTCTGGGTTTCGAGGCCAGGTCCCCAACCCGGAGAAACTCTGCTTTACTCCATGACTAACTCCCGCTTTTCATGCCCAGAAACACCCCTCTTCAGTCAGATTTGCTGAGCCATCAGGCAGTGGCAGAGCTCTATACATAAGTGACTAGCGATTCAAGCACTGGCTCAGGTACAAGCATGGAGGGGACTGAACCCAAGGCTG